CTGAGGTGTACAGGCCTGTCACGACCCAGAAATCCTGGAAGTTGAATTTAGTCTTTGTAATAACTGTAAATCCGTTGGAATAATGCTAACATTTATCTTTTTTTCTTTTGCATGGAAAAAAAAAAGACACATAATGCCATTTAATAATTTCAAGATAATTTATATGCGTCTCAAAATCTTTCCCATTACAGAACTTTTCACCAGGAAGTGGGTTGCTCCTTTGTTTGCTCTAGTCTGAGTAAACACCGAGACTTAAACTTGAAATTCGGCGGAGTCGAAGTGAGGGTATCAATTGCCTTTTCCAGTGCCTGCCCTTCATTAGCAGCACAAAGTGTGCTTATTTAAATCCCTCCTTATCTCCTGATCCGTGAGGAACAGCGAGTGACTGAATTCTGTGCCYATTGGAAGTACAGTAGATCAGATCTTCCTGTTTATTGATTTGTGAAGAACAGACTTGTCCTGGTTTGGCAGCTCTGCGTCAGGGCGAGGAAAGAAAGAGGCTTTTCAGCAGGTGGGAGGAGGATTGCTGGGCAGCATTAGTGAGGGCCTTGCAGAAGGCACTTGCCTTTGAGGTGCAGTCGGAGTGGGTATGATTGGAGTCAAGGTCAGGGTGCTGTGGAAACGCTGCAAATATGGTGGGGAATTCAAGGGCTGCTGTTTTATTAAGTATTGTACATATGCATGCTTCTTAAATACAGAAAATTGCCCTTTACTTTTCATGAAAGCAGTCTTTGCTGAAGCAAATTTTCGAAGCAGAGATTGTATCATTGAGCTGCTGCACTAAAAATAGCTGTTTGGATGAGAATCTTCTGTTCTTTTCCTTCCTTCCCTGCCATTTTTCCTCAGAATCCCAGACGTATTCAGCTATTTTTCTTCTACGGTTGTCTTAGCTATTTATGTAATGCTTTTTTTTAATCAGTTCTACTTATGTGTTTTATTATGTATCCTTACTCAATACGTAGCAAAAATTGCTTCTTTCTATAATTTGACTACATTTGAATATTGAGCAGCCTAATTATATAATAGTTTCTATATATTATGCTGCTTGTGCCCTTAGATGCCCTTACATAAAGAATATAATTCTGACCTCRCAAGACTTTGTGCTGTGTTGTGTTTTAAATGAATAATAATTTAAAGAAGTTAAACTCAAGTGTAAATGTTTGACTTCACCGAGTGGGATAGGCGAGACCCAGCTGACCTCTCTATTCTTCTATCTCTGATCTCAAAATAGAAAATGATGAATTGTGACACAATGGGCCTTAAAGAAGCCCTAAAGAAACRGGCTTCTTTAGTTGTGCTCCTTCCTTCCCTATCTTTAGTTGTGCTCTTTGTGGGTTGGAAGGTGTTGCAATATTTTTCTATCTTCAGTATACASTTCACTCCACTGTGAGAATGTCCAGGAAAATCTGGTGAGGAAATGTTTGATTTTCTTTTAGGGGAAAAAAAAAAGAAAAAATAAGGCATCATTTTCTGTGCATTTTATGTAAAGACTTTAGCACTTTACAAGCACTTCATCTAGAAATGATGAATCAGCAACAGGGAGAATTGAATACGTTTTATTTTCCACCCATTATGGGACTAATAATTCCCTATCAGAACACTAAACGTCACTGTGAAGTAGTTTTAATGACAATGTGATTTTACTTAAAAATAATGGCAGTATAAGTCGCTGTTCATTTCCATGAGCATTAGAGACAAAAGACTTTTCTTTACCTAGAAATAATAAAAGTCATCTTAGATATCAGATACATATTACTAAGAGTGTAAAGAAAACACAGGAAAAAAAAATAAAAAGAAAATGCCATTTATTCTCATATTCTCAATCAGTGGTCCCCAAGCAAACCACTGCAGGAAATGTTAGTTTAGTATATCACTGAGAGAGATAGGTAGGTAGGTAGGTAGTGTTTAACATAAATCTATCATTTTAGTATTTCTGTATGTCTATGTCTTATGCAAGGGGGAGCAGGTCCAAATAGCAGCTGGGTTAGAGAAATGCTGTTTGCTTGTAATTCATGTGCCTGACGTGCAGGTAGAAATCCACAGAAGTCTCTTTCTGAACAGCCCCAATGCTCGTGAGGACGGAGGCGTCCCTGCCTTCACTTGGAATGTTCCCCATTTGCCTCAAGTTTCCTTAGTAAACATCATCACCTACTTGGTGGAACATTTGATTATGACCCTTGCAAGTTACTAGGTAAGGTGTTTGCTGGAAGAAATCCCATGTCAGATCCAAATGAACAGCCCTTTTCTAGGCGTGTGGATCATGAAAGGACATGGGGCTGACAGCCGGAGCCCCCTTCCCTTATATGCAGCAACTGAGCCATCCGTTTCACAGAGCGTATTTTAGCCTAGTGCTCAGTGAGCATTTCTGTGAGAAAGAAAGAGCCCTGCCATAGTTTCCTCTGCTAAAGTTGTTCAACTGAACATCAAAGCTATGGGGAATATAACTGGAGTAGGGCTGGGACATAGGCTTGGGCTTTGGCTAGGTCATGCTTGGTTTCCAGCTTGGACGTAAGTAAGCACAGATTAACCCTTTAGTTGAAAGAAAAARCATTCAGCAAAACAGGCAAATCTAACAGAGGTGCATGTAGCAGTTGACCCAAGCCAACTATGGAAAATCCTTATTCTGAATGGCAAGTTATTTCAAGGTTGAAACCTGAAGAGTTCTTGGAAACACGGCCTTGCTTCTTATCAGCGTAATCTGTTTAACTGCTCCTCAGTTCACATGGCTGTGTTGAAATATTGGGAAGATTTTTTTTTTAATGTTTTCAAATTCTTTTTATTATTTAAAATGAGATGTGCTTTAAATGCTATTCTTCTGTTTGGCTTATTAGYGTAAGATATTTATGTTCTATGTCATCACCACTTAAAATCAATACATGATCTTTTAGTACATACCTCAGATTCACATATAATATATTGGCTCTTTCATTTGTCATGATTGGAAGAAGAAAATGTAAAAGAAAACAGTGTATTAGATAAATAATGGAAATGCATGTATCTTCAAGCAAACATTTTTAGAGAAGAAAAGCAATAGCTCAGGTATCTTTGAACACAGAAATCCTGCTGTTTGTTTTTGAATTAAACATAAAGAGATGGTTTGGGTCAGTTAAAACCAAATTCTTACATCTTGATCTTGACTGAGTTTATAGGTTTGTGCTTCTATAGCTACCAATACTGATAACCAGAAGCAGCTCTGAGTTTAGGCACTCACAGACTTCCTAACTCTCATCTATACTGTGAAATAAGTGCAAACTCAAGCCTTAAGTCAGCTGCTGTCCGCCGTGGTGCCACTCAGAGTTAAGCTACATAGCACTGCTCCATGGAGCGTCTATCCATGTAAAGACCAAAGAATATAGGCCTAAATTGCCCTTTATCCAGCTGCTTTTTGTCTGCAAATTAAGAATTTATCCAGAGTTCCCCTTTTCTCAGGCTTGTTTTTGTCTAGCTAAGCAATCACCACTATTAGGCACAAAGATCACAGCTCGCTGGTCTCAGCCTGCATGTGCCCACCCAAAAACCAGTAGCATAAGTAAAGGCTGCTCTGCAGTCACTCCTGCCTTGAGGAAAACATGAGGAAGAAGAACAGAGGGCACCTTATGAGGCGCTGGTAGCTGAGCGGTGTGGGGAGGTGCTTGTCAACAGGGGCTGGGGGCAAATCAAGAGCATTTATTGCATCTCTGCATAGGAAGCTGGAGAGGAAAAGAAGGGACAGAAGCAGAGGAAGCAGCAGGGAAAGCATTTGAAATGCAGCTTGGGGAAAAGGCAGGGGAAGGGGACTTTTTGGAGCTGTTGTTTGGAAACAGCGAGCAAAGCAGCAAACGTCCTCTTGCTGTATTTCAGTTGTGCTTAATGAAGCCAGATTCTGGGTGCTTCGGCCTCTCCTGGTAAACACATCAGATCACATCAAAGACATGCTCAATTCTGCCGTTATTTTTTCCCCCAAACTGCATTGTCCCTAGCTGTTGTAGAATCATTCCTGTCTACCACCAGCCAAAAAAGCCTGAATGCCTTTGAATGCAGCTTGCTTTTCACTCATGCATCCTATTTACTTCCTGGTAACATAGCTCCCAATTAGGACAAGCAAAACAGACCAAGCTATTTCAATGTCTCTTTTACTAGTGTTGACACAACACCTTTTCTTTCAGACAATATTTAAATTCAGTGAAGCTGCTTCCTGTCAGTTGCTTTATTTAAAACATTTTGGAAATAGCCAGTCTTCAGCGTTAAGCATTTTCTCTGCTTGACCCAATGCTATATTTAGGCTAATTTAATTGATAGTGTCCTTTTAGAATACGTTCTAAACGTATTCTAAAATAACGTTCAATGTCATTCATAAACTTTGGGAGCTTGGGATATTTATCTGTAACACCCACCTGCTCTCAACTGCTGGCTGAGATTTTCGAGGTGCAAAGATAAAGCTGCTCTTACAGTTGGCATCTGTGTTTTTTTGTAGTAAATCTACCCACCAAAACACCAAGAAGGACATCTTCCAAGGAAGAAATAAAGAACAAAGAAATGCTATTTGATTACGTTCATTCCAGCATTCTTCTAAAATTCAGTTATGACATCCACATTAGAAGAAATTACTTTTCAGAGGCTGATCTATAACAATTGACTTCRAAAAAGTTCTCTCATGCTAGTTCCAGTGAAAGTATTTAACAGAGAAGAAATTTACTGACTTCAGTATTGGCAAGCAAGAAATCAGAATCATATTCTTTTTAGGTGCATATGTTCAGGTCTGTTTGCTGCTGTGCATCTATTTATCAGCCAGTTCATGTTGAGGTTGTTCTAGCATCAGTTAGAGGAAAGGCAAACAAACCAATCTGCTTGCCTATGGATCAGACACATTAAAGCTCAATTAAAGCCTTCAACATGACAGATTTTTGCAGGAGCCCTTTTACTTTTTAAGAGAATGTTGCTTAATGAAACAAGGATCTGCCTTTAATTGCTGCTTGTTACTTGTTGAGAGCAGAGTCATTTCTTTTCTCCTGTCTTTGCAGGTGGCCATTGACGAGCGCATCAGGCAATTGCATGAAGCTCACAGGGATTTTGGCCCTACTTCTCAGCATTTCCTTACCAGTGAGTAATTTCCCATTTTACTTGCTCAGCTGGCACACACAGTGAATTGATATATTTTGTAGCCATGTAGTCAGCTGAGGTTACTATCAATTTCTCTTTTAAAGCACATCTCAGTGTTTTTCTTTTCTTAAGTATTTGGAGCAGAAGATTGGTAAAGAAGTTCAAACATCCCAGTGTAGACAGAAGACCTCTACCTATGCTAAGTCTGTTTGCAAAAGCATCCATTAATGCAAAGTTATTCAAAATTGTATATATGTATTTTTTAAYCTTTAGTATTTTACTAATTCTGATTATTTTGGCAATTGATTTTCTAGATAACCCATTTTGATAGTTTCAGATGAGCTTATGATACGAGTATATAAAGATGAACGTGGTAGTATTTGTGTCTGTATGTCATATCAGACAGGTGAATTATCAAAATAAAATGCTAAGTATTGACATTTATCTATTAGCCTAGTTCCATGACTACATGAGGATTAAATCCATCCTWAAAAAGTCCATGTTTTGAACATGCAATTCTTTTGAATCAGAAGAATGTACACACATGCACAATGAAAAACTGAAGGTTTGCATAGCTGCTTTAAAACTTTATAGAGATTAAAAARGCATAAACTTTAATATCTACTGTACTTGTGTGAATTAATAGTRAATTAATAGAACAGCTAGATATTCTGGCCAAGTTCTGTGTTGACTTTTTTTTTTGTAGAAAGGTAGAAAGCAAACTATACCCCCTATTTCTTGTTGGGCCCTGTTACTGTAAGAGGGAAAATTAGGAAAGTAAATCTCACTTAAAATATGTRTTTGACTATACTTGACTTTTGCTTCTGAAGCACACTTCCAATAGCAGCTTGGGGRCTGGTTCAGATTTTGAATAGCTATAGCTTAGTTCTTGTCTGTGAATCAATATTAGTAAAGTCTAGGCCGAGATAGAATTGCTTTGGTGGAAGAGATTTTTAGAACAACATAACACATAGGTTTTAGATATGCTCTAATCCAAACAGAAGTTATTTCTCAACAATTCTGATCGTAGGATGTTAGCTCAAACTATTACTGGGCTTCTATATACTACTAAATATTTGTTATTGTTGATTATTCCTCTTAACATTTAGCTTTCTAGATATAATGGCTAGATCAATTTAGTTCTGCAATTATTGTATTTGATTCTCATTACTTTGTTGTATTTTATTAAGACTTGGGGTATAAAAGATACCCCATAAAAGATAGAATTTAAGATTAGATCTTTACTTCAGGCATTTCCTTCAGACTTTTACCACAAATTTTGCATTATGCTGGTTACAACTCAGTTTCAGTTGATCTTCATTTTAGGAACTTTGACAAATATGCTTTATTTTATTAATTGGAATCCACTTCAAATTTAATGGCCTTCAGTTTTCTTCAAATAGCTGGACACATTTTTCAAGGTAAAAAAAACAAAGCAATTATTTAAAACCTACTAAAAGGAGATAATTTCAGTGAATTCTTAGACAAACTGCTTACCTGTTCAAAATCAGAAATACTCAGGTCCAAGGACAAACAAACCCTGCAAGAAAAATATTTTGGGTTTTGCAAGATTTGACCGCTTAGAAGAGCAGCAAAGGGATCAAAACCCAGTGAAAAAGTTGGCAGAAGAACAGCAATTCAGGAAACCTTTCCAGAGCTCTGCAGATAGTGTAATTGCCAGTAACGTTCCCAGCCCACCGCGCCCCAGCACTTTGATGTTTTGGAGCACACGAAAGACAGTTCCAAGCACCTTCAAAGCTCCCCGGCAGGGGCTAAACTGAACCTTCTCCAATGCCCTGTCTTTCCTATTGTACTTCAATTAACTAAAGTAAACAGTGAAACTATTTAAGAGATTATATCAGCAGAAGAGAACACAGTCAGAGGATAATAGTCTGCTACATGCAGGGAGGCAACCTCTCCAGGCATTTATCCCGAATGGATGGTACCCACGTTGTATGGCTGCATTCACAGTGGGGTAGGGAACAAACTTTTCTTTGGCAGATAGTGCCTTGTAATTTGGGACAGGGATGTTTTTTAATTGGTAAACTTGTTGTTTTTTCACTGATAAGAGCATCCTGCCCACAGAAGGGCAAAGGGGAAAAATTAGAAGAATGGAAACCTTGGTAGGGTGAATTGCAAGTTCAAAACCATCTGCACAGTGCAGGCTAGCAATAGTTCAACACTATATATATGGTTTTTTTCAAAAGATGAGTGGAAAAACAAGCTTTTATGTCTTTAATTTTTACTGAATCTTAGAAATCTTTCTGAATTAACTCATAGTTCCTGGGAATATATTTGACAGATAGTGTTGTGGAATATATATGCCAGCCAGTACAATATATATGTCTGCAAGTCACATTTATCAGGATGGGACATGAGGGAAGTTTAGGTATATGCCATGCAGCAATATGYAATGCCTTTTTTATTTGATGCACAATTGACTTTAGGGAAAGCTCCTCAGAGAGAAAAAAAATGTAGTGCATATAGTAAGCACATTTATCTGGTAATCTTCAGGAGAACAGAGTGACCTGGACTATATTGTCCCACTGAACATAATGTTATCGCTCTCTGCGCCTATGCGGAGTGCAGCCAGGCATCTTGTGTGATCTTTATACCCATTGTGCCTCACTACTCATAAGGTAAACCATTTTAAAAGTTTTCAGTTTTAGGATCACCACATCTTTTAGCCCACCAGCAATTGATAGGATGTAGAGAAGACACGGTCTTCTGAGTCTTCTGAGGTAGCAAGGAGTGGCAAACATTGCTTGTCTCCACTTGAAAGTTACTTTAAGAAAAGGGGTCAGTTCAAAACATGTTGGCTCTGAAAACAGATTATTGAGGAAAAAAAAAAAAGAGATGTGTGCAATGTATTTGCTTGCTTGTTCTCTCTCTCTCTTACATCTGCATGCAAAAGAAAAGTAACTAAAGCTCAGCAAATATCCATAGAATTAACCCCAAATGTAATTTTTCTRTCGCTGAAAATTGCCAGTGCATCTTTAAGCCTCATGTTCTGCAGGCATAAAGTTCCCAAAGCCTCAAGCTCCTCAGTACCACAGGTCCTGTTAGTGCACCTGAAGTCAGGAACCTGCTGCTGGCTGCTTTCCAAGCCGCGCCGCCACCGCTGCTGCTGCTGTGACACCAGCAGCACTCGTGGGGGCATCTGGAGCAGGGAGGTAGCACTCGGGCAGGGATGCAGCCAAAGCTGGCGTTATTAATTAGTGTTATTTCTGTGTTTGCACTTCTGGGAATGAACTGGTCAAACACAAGGGCTGCCGACAGGAACAGGGCAGGTCAAATGAAGGTGGATTAATGCCTTCTGAATGGTCTTTCAGTGCCACGGTGGCAAATGGAGTCTGTTTTGGATCAGTGTAGCAGTGACAACAACTTAGAAAATAAAGTGAATCGTGATAATTCTGCTCTCCAGAATTATTTCATAATTTCAGCTCAAAGTATTTTGAGYTAAGGAGCTAAAATGTGTGTTAGATCAGTGCAGACTGTAATAAGGGAAATTCATTGGATAGCTCATACCCTTTGTTTTTTGTTTATACTCCAGACGCAATCAATTCCTCTTCTCAAATTCAGCATCAATTTTTTCTCTACTATGTATATTTGTTCCTCTTGAGGTGCTAGTGATGATCATCTCCAACTGTTCATTTACTTACTTAAATTTTGTGTTTTAGAGGTGTTCTGCCTTCCTATGTAGCTATACAAAAAGGTTGGTAGGCTAGTATTCCCAAGCAGCAACTGAAGTAAATTTCTCTCCCTAAAAAGAATTAAAAAAAAAAAAAAACTAAAAAAAAGAAGTATGAAGTGCTAATTGATGGTACTGGCTCTTATAAGGTTGTTATTGGTCTGTACATAGAAATTAGAGCATCATCTGTCTGTTTCTGTTTGTCTGGAACTCAAGCTCCTAAAGGCTGGAACTGAAGGCTGGTGGAAACCAGGCACAGAAATACAGAAATAATGGGGGAGTAGAGTCAGGACCTCGTATTTTCCGTGTTCTGTGCAAACAGGGAATCAAATGCTGGTCAAAATGTCCCCATCTCTAAGAAACAATAAAGGAGCCAGTACCCACTTGTGTTCCTCTTGGTTCTCCACCAAGGCTTTGGACAGCCCCCAAGTATAGCAGACTGTCACTAAAACTGGCCCTTGCTTGTCTGCGAGYTCCTGAGCTCTCCCCAGGCCTCCCCTGCATCTCTCCTGGACTTTCACCTCAGCCTGTGATTTTCTAATCAGCCTTTCATGGTTCCTCAAGCTGGTGTCACTCTGCCAGGCTCCACAGTGTCTTGTCTTTTCCTTGGTTGCCCATTGCTGCTTTGCCAAGAACAGTTGTGAAGATACAGCTTAATAAGTGGTACTACGTGTGCAAGACATTGTATCATGAACATACAGAATGAGATTATAGTTGTTGGTGGTTTTGCTGTTTAATTAAAATGATCAAAGTCAATGAGCGAAGGAGTTGCAAAAATTCTCCTTTCTGGTGAAGAGAAATCAGTAAATATTTAGCAAAGTCTTCTAAAAGGTCTGTGATCCTTTCATGGATGGTGGTGCTTAATTTGAAAATGAAATACAGGAACTGAAGTGTGAAAAAGAGGACCTGCAAACCCAATTTAAGTGCAAATTTCAGCATAATGCCAAGTCCAGAGTTTTTAGTGACTCCTCTGAAACAGCGATACTTTTTTGACCTCTTCACTTTGATCTCTGATGCTGCCTCTTACAAAGAATGTGGTTCCTTGTCTCTTGTTGGGAGACTCGTATTTTTCAAAATAAGTTTTAACTTCCTTTTGAAATGCAGCARTGCAAGCTGGAATTGGTGTCTAATATCATTTGCTGTATTAGCCACCTTGCCATTCATCCTATTTTTTAATGATGTAGCTCATTCACATACATCATTTGTGATCCCTAACCAATAGGTGGTATGGCAGCCTTTGAAAACAAAAGCCAACGTTGCCGTTTCCTGCCCGGTGCCTGTTTCACACCATCCATCAGCATGTGGAGCC